CCAGAGCAGAGTAGAGGGGCAGAATCACCTCCCTTGACCTGCTGGCCATGTTGCTTTTGATGCAGCCCAGGGTAGGGTTGACCTTCTGGGCTGCCAGCGCACGTTGCTGGTTCGTGTCCAGCTTTTCATCCATCAGTACCCCCAAGTCCCTCTTGGCAGGGCTGCTCTCTATTCTTTCTTCCCGCAGCATGCATTGATACCGGAGGCTGCCCTGACCCAGGTGTAGGACCTTACACTTGGCCTTGTTGAACCTTATGAGGTTCACATAGGCCCACCTCTCCAGCCTGTCCAGGTCTCTTTGGATGACATCCTGTCCTTCTGGCATATCAACCGCACCACTCAGCTTGGTGTCATCTGCAGACTTGCTGAGGGTATACTTGATCTCTCTGTCTATGTCATTGATGAATATATTAAACAGCACCAGTCCCAGTACGGACCCGTGAGGGACACCACTCATCACTGGTCTCCATCCAGACATTGAGCCATTGACCACTACCCTCTGGATGCGACCATCCAACCAATTCCTTACCCACCAGACAGTCCACCCATCAAATCCATAGGTCTCCAATACAGAGAGAAGGATGTTGTGGGGGACCGTGTCAAAGGCTTTGCGGAAGTCCAGATAGATGACGTCCATTGGTTTTCCCTTGTCCACTCATGCCATCATAGAAAGCCACTAGTTTGGTCAGGCAGGACTTGCCCTTGGTGAAGCCATGCTGGCTATCGTGAATCACCTCCCTGGCCTCCATGTGCCTTAGCATAGCTTCTAGGAAGATCTGTTCCATGATTTTCCCAGGCCCAGAGGTGAGGCTGACAGGTCAGCAGTTCCCAGTGTCTTCCTTTCTACCCTTTTTTTAAAATGGGCACGTTTCCTTTCTTCCAGTCCCCAGGACTTTACCTGACTGCCACGACTTCTCAAATACCATGGAGAGTGGCTTGGCAACTACATCAGCCAATTCCCTCAGGACTCTGGGATGCATCTCATCAGGTCCCATGGACTTATGTGTGTTCAGGTTCCTCAGGTGGTCACAAACCTGATACCCAGAGGTGAGGCTGACAGGTCAGCAGTTCCCAGTGTCTTCCTTTCTACCCTTTTTTTAAAATGGGCACGTTTCCTTTCTTCCAGTCCCCAGGGACTTTACCTGACTGCCACGACTTCTCAAATACCAGGGAGAGTGGCTTGGCAACTACATCAGCCAATTCCCTCAGGACTCTGGGATGCATCTCATCAGGTCCCATGGACTTATGTGTGTTCAGGTTCCTCAGGTGGTCACAAACCTGATACTCTCTTACAGTGGGAGGGGTTTTACCCTCCTGGTCTCCCTCATGTGGTCCCTTGACTCGGGAGGGGTGAGGAGAGAGCTTGCCAGTGAAAACTGAGGCTTGTTGATTTTGAATGCAGTGCATGTTGTATAAATAATTCTGCCAATGGCTGCATATCTGTATGTCTTGCAAAAGACAACTTTAATATTTGCAAGTAAAACGCAAGTAACATGCTGCATTTTTCAGCTCCCCAGTGCAAGTATTCAAAATTAGTCTGCTTATGTTGTCCTTTGTTGTCTTTCATGTCCAGACTAACAGTCTTAAAGACTTGGTATAGATTCTGGAGAATAAAAACAAGATTCTTTTTTTTTTTTTAAAAAAAAAAAAAGGCTAAAAAAATGAAAAATAAGATGCTAAATGTTCTCACCAAATCTGTCAAAGATGACCACCTTCAGGGAATGTTACTGGCTCACTGTCTTTTTTTTTTTGTGGGTCTTTTTTGTTTGTTTGTGGTGTGTTGTGTAGGGGTTTTTGATTGTTTCCTTCCCCCCTTCCCTAAGCATTACAGTCAGTCATGCCTCAGGCAGACTGAGGGGAGCTCTCCTTTTGATATCCACTGAGCGATAGACAATTTCCAACCTTCACATCTGAACAAACATCCTTCAGGAAAACCATTATGTGGATCATGCTAACAGTCTCTTTGATCATGAACACTATTTGCCACAAGCAATTATTGAATATAGCTGCGCATGGATATTACACTGTGCCCGTTTCTTTGAATTGTTTGAACTGGATCGAGCAATTGTCTGCAAGTACCAGCTGTAGTTAAGAATTTCTTGTGCCTTTAATTCACCCACATATGCTTTCTCACCAAAGACCAAATTCAACAAAACATCAGTAAGTTTGCTTACTTCTAAGCATACCACGTTCCTATTTAGCAAAGCCTATCAGTATGTGCTTAACGTAATTTGAAAATCAAAATTGTGGAAAAAAAACTTTGCTGAAAAGTTGCAGGAAACACTGCTTTGAAACTACACGTGCATAGAAC